TTGGGCTCGATACTCGGAGCTTATCCAAACGAAGCTATTGTTGGGGATACATGATCTGTAGCTCTTTGTGATTTCACGAGATAAGCTAATCACCAATATCACCAACCCGAGTATCTAGCAGCGCTAGGACAGACTTCTTAGTTTAAACCACCTATACAAGAGATGGTGATCAAATACGTGCATTCTCTAAACATTCCATATATTTAAGAAGTCTGCATTGGGCCTCCCCGTTCCAAATACCCTAAACTACTTAATGTCCAGGCGTTGGAAATTGGAATAACTTTTTGCTTCCCACGGGTTTTTGAGCTCATTTATTTGTCGAGCCAGAGATTGACTGACCGGAGAAAATACAGGCAGCTTGTAGTATTCTCAGCTATCTCTCCAGTCGCATGAATCCTCCAACAATCACTACGGCAGGAACCACTGCCCTTGATTTTGGCCTCCGACACATTCTGCTGCGTCAGCCGTGTTGTTCCTGTACATGTTAGACGATGCTGGGTAACATTATCTACATCTAGCAACGCGTATCTAGTCGGATATTGCTGTTGCAGAAGCTCCTCCAACTTTCGAGCGTAAGTCGTGTTGGGAGCCGAGACGATCTCCTGAACCGGGATGCCTGGCTGGGGGAGTGTCGTTCACTGTCGACTCAGCCGTTTGCCCAGAACCATTTACCATACTTAGTTACACAAGAAGATACTTGTCCAATGTTTATATCCAATCAATAGAGTATAGTGTAAACCCAGCAACTTAAAGGAATACACAGAAGTCTACCGACCCACGGAGAATAACCAAATACTTATAGATAAGCCTTGCTTCTACAGTAGAAGTCTCAAGTCCTACTCAGTCTTACTCTCCATTTTGACCGTCTTCTCGGGAGCAATATGAGCATGTTGACAACACACAGATAGATCTTCATCCAGTGTAGACATGTCTTCAGCTTGCTCGTCATCTACTACACAGTGTTGGTCATCGTTACACAGTATCGATCGTGTAACAGTGAACCCAAGAATCTTAAACTGGTTCCTCCCTATGATGATACCAGGTTTACCAATACCATTCATGAGGATAAACGTTAGCAGTTTCCAGACAGTATTTCCCTGTTTAGAAATCTGCTTTACAAAGCACTTCCATGCTTTGTCCATATAACGCTCCGTACCATCTGCCAGCTTAACCCTGATCTTGGACGGAGTGTTCACTATATTACCAGCACCATGAGACACTAGTGACTCAGCAAGGTCTCCTCTTATAAAACCTACCGACGCACCAGTATCCAATAACCCTCTAACCTTAATCAGGTTATGTGGTGTATAAACTTCAAAAGAAACAGTCAGAAATCCATCTTGTAAGGACATATCAGCCACAGTTTCAACCTCACATGATATCGTCGATAGCTTTTGCTCAGCTTGCGACTCAATAGGGGCTTCATCATCACCACCCCCCTCTACAGGAGAATCGACTTCTGTAGCTGGAGTAGCAACTTCATAAACCATCTTTGTAGTATAGTCACCCACCGGTTGTCGAGGTTGTTGAACATCAGACCCAGTAGATTTCC